CACTGCCTATAGGCCCCCACCAATTTGAAAACATTTTTCTGCTGATTTTGCTGCCAAGAAAACTCGAAAAGCATTGTTGTAAATTATGTAATAAGTGTTAAATAATTTGTAACCAAAATTTTACCAAATTATATAGATTCATTATAATTTAAATTCAAATATAAAAACTTTTTTTAAGTATCAATTAATTAATCAATAATTAATCAATCAAAAGTACATATTATTATTATTATTTTAATACTAAAATTTATTATTATGCACTACACTTTATAATTAAATTAGTTGGAAAAATATTCAGTAATTTTTGTTACTTTGTAAATTTTTGTTCTTAGAGAAAATAAAATTTAATTTTCTTTGCAATGTTTAAATTATTCCTTTGAAAACAAGACAGATTATTTATTTAATAAATTCGAGAGAACATCTTGAAAGAGACGCATAAAAAATAATGTTTTTTTCAATCCCTTAACTAGGCCCCCACCAAATTTCTGCCTATAGGCCTCACAAGCGTAAATCCGGTGCTGGTCTTCCCTTCCACAACATCAAACTTTCATCTATACATAGGTTTTTTCCAGAAATAAAGCTTTTTCCAAACTTTTCCTTCAAATCATCTATACCGGGCTTGATTTTTTTTTCAGAGGATGATTTTCGATTTCTTCGTTATTTTGAAAATGTAAAAAACGTAATATCTGTAGACATCTGTTTTATGTCGTCATTTTCCCAAATGCTGGTGTTAAAATAGCAAAATGGGTGGTCCAATATAATTTTATTTGTCCCATGAGAATTGAAAGACTTAAGAATATCTAACGATTACTTTCCTCAACATAGTTTTGAGTTTCGAGTAATGATGGATGGAAAAATAGATTGAAATAATGTAATGGTGTGCCTGTCAGAGGAACATTTTCATCGATCACACTTTCAGCAACAAAATCTTTCACAGACGGATAATAGTAACTATCGTGAGAAACTTCACCTACGGATAAAAAAACGTGTTCCTCTAAATCTATGTGCTGAATATGTAAGTTTTCAAATTCATCATCTGGAATTCGCCACTGCTTCAATGATTGAGCTCAATCATTCTTAACTTTCTAAAAGCCTCAAAATATATGGCGCAAAAAGAAGTGCAATCTCTTCACACTTGGACAAAATTCACCATCTCAGAAGAAATTATAAAGTATCCTTCATAAAACTTTCAACGTCCAAGCTTAGTTAGAAATATGTCAGAATCTACAAAAACTTCACACATAAGCGGAATGCTTTATTCATCATCGCCCCATCAGGATCTTATGCATACAATTCTGCTGCGTTATGATTTCAAGGAAAAAAGGTTTTCTTGATCAGTACCATGTAACTACCATTATTATGTGCAACTCGCTTTGGGGGCACTCTGGCCTTCTAAAAACAAAAAATTTTATAAAAACACATTCCTTTTAAAATAACAGAGTTAGTACTAACTTGTGGTATAACTACTAGAAATGTAACAAAGGTAGAGCAGCACCTCCAAAAACTCTTAAGTTCTCATAGTAGTTGCTGAAATATTTGAATAGGCGGACACTTGGAGATAGGTTGCAAAAAGTATCTTAATATTTATACATCCAGCTTCACCTGAAACCACTAAAACTTTCTAATACATTACTGCATTAAAAAATCTTTTAACACAACAATAACACACGCCGACCCTCTAGCCCAGAAACCAAAATGTACTTTCGGAAGAATTTCAGTGCGCTGAATTCGAATCCAAGACCCAAATTTCTCAATTGGTTCTGGTTTTTGAGATATTCTAACCTAAAAGTGCCAAAATGGCGACTTTTTGACATACTCGTAGTCGTATTACATCGAAGGTAAATTGTTTGGTAAAACTATGAATCGGGCCCTATATCCCGATATAATTTTTCATCTTTGAGGAAACGTATGTTGAAATTTAGTACAGTAGAATCTCTATAATCCGGCACTTCACTACACCGGCACGTCCAGTAATCCGGCGTTACTTTTTCCGCGTCTGTTTACTATCCTTGAAGAATAGAGTTTATACAGTTAGAGTTTAGTTGAAAGATTATTTTACAGAAACAAAAATATTACAATATACATATATATGCATACACAACTGTAATAAAATATGTTTGTATCTATGTACCAACTCTTTGTTAATAAACAATTAAATGTGACGTTTTATAATTTAATACTGTTTACATATACATTTTCCATTAATCCGAATTTTCCAGTACTCCGGCACTCTTAGGTTTTTAATGGTGCCGGATTAGTGAGATTGTACTGTAGTTTGACTTTTTTTTCAATTTTTGAATATACTGATAATTCAGCTCAGCACCAAAAACCTAAATTCATCGGCACCCAGAAGTAGGTCGTTGATCCTGAATCTGAACTCCAAAATACTCTTATGAAGTCAAATTTTGTAACTTAAAAAAATTTCTAAAAATTTGATATATGGCCAATATTTTACGCATTATATCAATCTGGAAATACATTTACATGCAAAAGAGGCTCAATCCCAAACTCATAAACCTTAAGCTCAAAAACATTAATCCCATAAACCCTTAATCCATAAACTTTAAACTCACAAGCAAGTAAACCCTTTAACTCAGAAACCCACAAACCTCGAACAAGTTTTTCAGATTTTCAGATTCGTGATCAACGATCTTAAAAACATGTAAGATACCTACTTCGGGATGCCAATGAATTTAGGTTGTGGTGTTGTGTTGTGAGTACATACAGGTTCGGAAAATACCGATGGTCAATCTGTCGTTACGTGAGAGCAATAAAGTAAGACAGAAATCCGTGCGATAGAGAAAGATAGCTATAATGAAGGCGTCTAATAGTCACCGCCCATTTCGCCCTTCCACAAATAAGATCCACTTCTTATTTGTGGAAGGGCGAAATGGTCGGTGACTATTAGACACTTTCATTATAGCCATCTTTCTCTATCGCACGGATTTCTATGACTTACTTTATCGCTCTCACGTAACGGCAGATGGACCATCGGTACTTTCCGAACCTGTATATTCAAAAATCGAGAAATAAGTCAAACTACTAAATTTCAACATGTGATTTCTCAGACGTTAAAATGACATGGGGATAAATCCAAGTGCATTTTAAAGAGTAAGTATAGTACTTTAAGACCCCATTAGTGGTTTCAACAAAAAAATTTACCTTTCTATGTAACATAACCTCAAATGTCAAAAAATCACGATTTTAGCATATTTAGGTTACGATATCTCGAAAACCAGTAGCGGGAATCCTGAAATTTCGATGTTTTATCGATATCGAGATAATTATGAAGCCAATCTCGATTGATTTGACTCAAAATGTAAATTGGTACTCTTGAAGCACATCGATATAGTCCTCGGATGAGTTCGGCAAATTTGGGATGATGTGATATACCACCGTTTATTTAAATTTTAAAATGAATACATATCATCAAATAAACAGAAATTTATAAAATTACTTATTTAGTCTAAACAGTAAACCATGGAAGTTGATTTAATTTAAATGCACTTTATATTCAAAGGTTTTATGCGTATATACTCAACAAATTATTGATATTCCGCATCCTAAATTTGTATTCGGTTTAAAATAAAAAACATAAAATACTACTTGTGAATTATTGTTGAAGAATTAGAGCAAGGAGAAGCATTTAGTATTGAAAATATTTATATGGAGAAGACAGTTAAGAGGTTCCATAATGGATCCATTAATCTTTACCGGACAAAAAATTTGTGTAATTGTTTCGCTTATACATAAAAATATCGTATATTATTTAATTATGTCTATTGTTTCACATTTAAAAGTAAAAAGAATTTCGGAAATTCACACCCAATATTAAATTATTTTGTGTTATATCAACAAACTACTAATAGAGAAATATGAGTGTCACAGAAGTTATTTATTAAAACTTTTCCAACAATTGGATAAAATTTTCACGAACAATAAGAGAAAAGTATACCGGTAAATAGACACTCATGACAAGAACAAGATTTGTAACATTATGTAGTATTTATATTTATCTAATACGTAAGTACCATTATGTTTATTAATATCAATGATTAGCCCTAAAGAACGTAATTATGTTAATTCAAAAACTGTTCAAATAGTTGTATATATAAACAAGTATTTGATACTTCACGTTTGGTTAGGTTAAATACGTAAAAATAAACAAAACACAAATGCAAACACATATTTGTAATGTTGAAAAGAAACAGCATTAGTCAATACACGTGATAGAAGAAGAGAGCAAATCGTTTCGACTAGCCAAGACTCCTCGATATTATATCGATTCGAATGGGCGGGGTTTCAATATTATTTCGATGGCAAAATTTTCAAGAGTACTGATGTATCGATATTATTTCGATCTTGATTCGCAATCATCGAATCGACATTTCGTGAACCAATTGCGAAATTTGCACCTTGGATTTGAATTCAGCACACCAAAATCCTTTGGGAAAGTAATTTGTGTTGTTGGGTTAAAATCTTGTCGGCCCGTGTAATTAAAGAACATGAATCTCATTCAAAGAGTGATACCAGAAACTAGGTACAGTCTGTATGACATTTGTTGAGATAAAATTTCAAGAAGACCCCTGTGTCACTTTCTTGGAATTAACCGCATTCGACACCCGAGGTAGAAAGACATTGGCAGAAAATTTCAAGGCACACTCCTGCTGCGGTGAATTGTTACAGTAGTTACCATAATAGAACTTTATTGACTTATTTTTTTCTTGGTTCTATATCAACAAATACAGTACGGATTGTACAAATAGCTTTACTAAAATACTTATATTTAGTATTTTCAAACAGTTTAACAATTTGAATTTTGATTTAGGAACATTATTTACGTAGACCGAAAGGTTTACGTGGAGCATTGAAGGAATTAGGATTGGATTTTGAAGGAAGAGAACATTGTGGTTTACATGATGCAAGGAACACAGCAAAATTTATAGGAAGAATGGTTGCCGATGGAGTACTGTTACGAATAACCACAGATAAAACAATTATAAATTAAACATATTATATTAACAAATATACAGATTTGCACTTATAAAAATTGGTTCATTGGATCATCCTCTCGTCTTCTTTTTAAATAATATGCTTCCATTTCTTCTTCTGTTGGTTTTACAACTTCAACCATGCTATTGTAGGGCCTTTTCCTTTCGTCCATTGCAAGAAGCTTATCGGCATTTTTTTTATTTGTTTCTTCAGCTTTTAGAGCTTCTTTCAACTTGTCTTTTCTCTTTTCCTTCTTTCCTTTTCGTTTCTTTTTCTTCTCATTTTTAATTTCTACACTTTCCTCACTTGAAGTATCGTTTTGTTTATCCGATTTATGTGTTTCTTTTCCGTTATTTTCTATTTTATTAGACTCCACCGACTTATTTATCTTTTGACCTGATTCTCCAAGACAATATGAATTCTGAAACAAATTTCCAATAATATTTTCCTAATCACTAACATGCTGAAAGAAGTTCTAATTGCAAATATTTAATTTATTTCATATGAAGCGATTTTACTAAATAAATTTTGAACCTCAGTTAATTCACTTTCAATTAAAGAGGAATTAGTTACACATCATTAGAAAAGTATTAATTGATATTATTTCATATTTAATAGTTACTGAATTTAAAATTAAAGCAATCTAAATTAGTTTCAATACTAATCGAATAAAAGACGAACACGCTGTTGTCGAGTTATCAAAATTGTATTAATAAAGGGAATTATATTGACGTCCATGGTACCTATTATGAAACAATGTGCTACATATATTTTTTATTTGTTTATTCAGCATTATTGGAAAAATTAAGCCGTTTTTTTTTAATTTTTTAGTGTCCAGAAAGTAACAAAAAAATTCGCAAAATTTGAAAATACAAGACCTGTGACATCCGTCTTGATTGCAACAATCGATAAAATAAACGGACCATAAAAATTCTCGCTGCACATGGTTCTGTCACTTATCACAGTTAGGGAACATCCATAAATTACGTAAGACTTTTTTTGATGGATTTTTGTCCCCTCCCCTCACCCTGTCAGGAATCGTAAGATTTTTCGCAACCCCTACACCCCCCCCTTATCTTACGTAGTTTTTATACAAATCGAAGATTTTGCAATAGGCTTCTTGCAGAAAAAAAAAATATTTTAATAGTTCTTGTATATACACTTAATACTACAAACAATGTGTAAAGGTTTTGTTATATTAATTTATTTTTAAAAAGTTATTAGATATTAAAGTTTTAATCGGTTCACTTCACGCGCAAATGCCATGGACTGGGACACGTTGACGTCATCGGTAAGTAAATGGCAAGCGCGACATATACAATAACGTGTTTCGACAGTGCAGCTGACTGCTTTAGTTATTAAATGTGTGAAGTGGTGTCAATAAGCAGTACGATACCTTATATACTGTAAATTTGTGAAGTTAAACTTATAATAACTATGGCAAATCCCTCTAAACCAAGGGTCGGCAAGTAATTTTAGATGGGGTCCGGATACTTTTGAAAATTTTAAACGGGGTCCAGAAAAAAAATCATATTTCTTACAAATTTTTTATTTTAATTTGGACTCAAATTTAATCTGCTTACTAACCATTAAGAACTCAAAACACTCACACAAAATGATAAGTTTGGCACTCAAACGTAAAAAAAACATTTTTTAAATAATTTATTTAAGTAATTTATACCTTCAAAAAATTTTTGGCGGTCCAGTATTTTACCTTCCGCGGTCCGGACCTGGACCGCGGTCCCCCAGTTGCCGACCCCTTCTCTAAACCATATAAATAGTCCAGACAGCATCTATTTCAAAAAGTCCATATTTGGGTAAATCATATATCCACGGAGATTTTTGGCTTTTTGGCTTTCAAATATTACTAGAAATGAAAATTTTTCTATGCGCATAAAAAAAAACGTAGGCTTACCTTTTGGCAGCACAAAATTCGAAAAATTTCATATTTTTCTTCCTATTTAATTATGTATCTTTTCAAGAGTTCATTTTAGACGAAAATGGAAGAGGAAAAAATGTTTGTAATTAAATTTTTTACAGACTGACTAGTTACAAATCGAATGAATCATGATTATTATTGTAAAAATCGAAAAAATCGCCAAATATGGGGTTAAAAAACATTACTTTTTAGGAAATCTTTTTGAGGTCTTTAAATTGAGTTGGAACTTTCATACTTGGCTCAAGAAAACTTCATGTTATGTAGAATCATCACACTAAATTTCATCAAAATCGGTTAGATAGATTTTGCATAATAATTTTACAATCCAGATTTTGAAAAATTAAAAATTTTGCACAGCAAAAACCAAGGCCCTTAGATACTTGAAAATTTAATCACTTATAGAAGGGCTCTCAAGCTTTCAAATGCTTTTTGAAAATTCGAATCCGTCAATTAGGAGAGCATAGAAAAATTTTCATTTCTAGTGATATTTGAAAGCCAAAAAGCCAAAAATCTCCGTGAATATACGATTCACCCAAGCCAAAACAGATACCGTCTAGTCTAATACTATTACTGGTATATTGTACCGATGTGTGAAAATACATCAGTAAAAACGCCAGAAAAAAATGTGTTTTAAAATAAATTTATGTAGATATCTATAAATCACATTTTCGTACCTGTTTGCTTTTATTCCCCTTATTTCTTCCGAATAAAATAAAATGCTTTTTGAAAAAACTCCGCAATCATCATGGCATTCGGTAAATTGTCTGATTGGGCTTCAGCATAACCTTGTTCGGTCATGTTACAAATATTCTTAAGAATTTTTAAAAAACAAAACTAATTATGATTATTTAAAATAACAAATTTAGATTCAAAATATTATTTAGATAGTAAATAATAGACTACTCGGGTAGCATAATATATTCCTCGGGGAAAGCTCACTTGAACTAAAGTCGTAAAAATTAAATATTAGACCTACACAGACTTAATTATTTTGCTGCATAAGTGCATATTTAGGTATACCTACATAATATAATGGAAACCAGTTAATAAATATAATAACACATCAGTATCGTTATCGTATCGTATGTAAACTAAAAATAATAAATGTTTTTAAGAAGTAATAGGACCAACATCGTTTTCTAATGTGAAGCGGCCAGTTTACTTACCGATGACGTCGCACCAACAGCAATTCGTTCTAGGACATGCCCCTACAGGATGCTCATTTCCAAATTTCAACGTACGATTTAGTCAATTTTCGAGTAGAATTTTTCACAAAAAATTTTATAATTAATAATTTTAAATAAGGCCATATTTAAATATGTAAACTAATATAAAAAAATCCAGCATGTGCAAGAGGCCTATTATTAATGTTTTTTAATTTCATTTTTATATAAATCAAAGGTATCATATTTTATTGTTAGGTGTAATAATTTTCAATATAATTCTGAACTACTTATTAAATAATACTAAATTAATACTATGATCTGAGAAAAAAAGTATTCAGTTCAGTATACTTACAAAATTATTCAATTTTATATTACTTTCACTGCTCAACTTCTATTAATTGTGGTATGTACTTTGAGTCTCCGTTAAGGCTTGATTAACTGATCAGGCGATTAGACTGTGAATATACTATTATAAAATAATTCAGTATATGTACAGTCTAATCCCCTGGTCAGTTAATCTTTAACTGAGACTCAAAGTATCGGGTAAATATTGCTAGTTTGTCATGTAATAAAATTAGTTCACAAAGACCTAATCGATACATCTGCTTAATTTTTTAGATTTTTTAGATTCAAAAAATTTTAAAAACATTAGGTAAGATGAACTGAAGAAAATCCTAAAAATCTTACGTAATTTATGGATGGCCCTTTACCTAACCTCTCTATTAGCTATCATATCACCAAGTTCAAAAGTTCGCATCATAAAAATTTTGTACTTTTAATATACTTAGTGTTATAGTATTTTGTATACAAATTTGGTGACAAATGTATAATTCTTAGTTTATAGAGCTGATTCTGATTGTTTCATACAAACTGACAATCCATATACAGGGTGTCTCACGGTGACGGCCCATTAGAATTATTTCAGACTACTTCGATTTGAATTTTGAAAATTTGGGATACCGAGTTTTCAGGCATGCCCTTCTCAACTAAAATAATGGCGTCCACGTACCACTTCCGGTTATACCGGAAGGCACCATCAACTTTCTTATTTTAAATGGAACACCCTATATATTATTGCAATTTTGGATTCTACCTGTTATTTTAGGTGGACTTGAAGTTTCCCTTTTCCTAAAATTAACCATTTTCAATATTTATTTTTTTTTTCAAAACAATGGAGAGAAACAGTGACTAGCTTCAAACCGTGTGTATTTTATAGTAAGAGAGATAAAGCAACAATATTTATAGGGGGGATAGCTAGCTTCCCATTCATACTTTCAATGTGGCTTAATTGCAGACAGAATGCTAGAAATTTAATGCCGAGTTTAGTTAACTTCAAACCGTCATAAGTCGTTTTTTTTTTAAATGGAACACCCTGTATGTTTTTTTATATTCTCATACACAATTTTATTCTCTTTCAAACGGTATCAGGGTTCCCTATACCTACCTCTTCTAGTTTTTAAGTTGTCTACTATTTTTTGTATAATCACCTAAAATCATGTAATTTCTTGCGAAGTTAGCTGTGGAATTTTTAGCAAAACTTCAAAACAAACAACTAAACTGTCACCAGTTATTATTATTTATTCACAGATGTTGCAATGGGATTCTAAGGAAAACATTTACAGTTTTTAATGAGACAACCCAATTTTCCACCAATGAGCAGAATAAAGTTAAGAAGAATTCTAAAAAATCAACTTCATACATAATAATACATTAATTATGGATGTTGATAATAATAATGCACTAAGATAAAAAAATTACTTAAAAAACTCATAAGTGTTCAATATGATCCCCATTAACAGCTAAGCACTTGTTGATTCTAGAGATAACACCATCAGTCATCGCTTTTGCTATTTCAGCTGCAGGAAATTCATGTAACACTCTTCGTATTCGAGCAATCAAATCCTCTTTTGAAGCAACGGGTGTAGAATAAACTTTTTGCTTTATTACTCCCCAAACATAAAAATCTAATGGAGTGGCCAATTCCACAGTCCTAGGCATTCATCCATCTATCTTCATCAACTGTTGATCGATTTGATTGTGACAGTGAGGTGGAGCCCCGTCTAATCGATACCAACACTTCCTTAGTTGGTCTAAAGCTATATCATCTAGAAAATCTGCCACAACCGTTTGCAAAATATTGAGATATCTGTCGGAATTTAAATTTTCTTCGTAGATATGCTAAGAAAGGACCCCCCAGAATCCTTATGGGAATTGGCTCCCGGTTAAATTGTCTGAATTTTTAGTATGTTATAGTATTCATGGTCCTGATCAAAAGTCCTCATGGGCACAATCGTCCAGAACCTCTAAATTTCGAGTTATGAGCCACAGAAAGGTGCTGGGTGGACGTTTTTGGACTTTTATGGATTTTTGCAAGTTCCACATTCTCTAACGTACTTAACGGTATAGGCTTGCGGTCAACCCGGCTGATTTGACAGTATGTTAAAGTACTCTTCATCCCAATCAAAAGTTCTCATGGGCCCAGATTTCGAGTTATGGGCCTCAGAAAGGTGCTGGATGGATTTTTTGGACTTTTATGGATTTTGCAAGTTCCACATTCTCAACGTATTTGACGCGATAGGCTCGCGGTCAACTTGGCTGATTTGACAGTATTTTAAAGTTATCGCAGAGATATTTTCTATCAAAGATTATTAATATCCCTTTGCTTCTATCAACAGTTCTTTTCAGAGCTTCTTTCTCATCAGTTTTCCCATAAATCTTTTCCAATCAGTTCTTTTGAGAACTAACCATAGGAAGTCACTGTCCTCCTGTACTATGGCTAACCGTTTAATGAACTGCTTTGTTTGCGATCGTAGATTTCAACGAAGGCAAATGCCCCATGTAGGTGCCGATGAAAATGCCATCAAGAGAAATATTGCGATCGCACGACATGACATGATGGGTCATCCACCATTGGATGTAACTGATCTCACTCGTATATGTTTTAATTGCAATCAGTTGATCAATGAAGAAATCCGTCTACTTGAACAAGATCCATTGGCTATGCGAATCAATGTGCTTTCGCAAACTAGGAGTTCTTTATGTTTAGTTTGTCAGCAAATTCACAATGTGCACTGTCTCTCATCGAAAGTTTGCGTTGCTGTATTCATCCACGCAAACATACATGTTCCAAGTAATATTAGGTCATGTCAGGATCATTTGAAGCAGAAAGGTTTTCTGCTGAGAGCATTGCTCCCCGATTTGAGATTCATCAATAGACCATATATTAGAGAACGTTAGAGAACGTGAAATTCACGGGATTAATATTAGTCAGAAAAAGTCCGAACCATTCACCCAGGCGCCCGTCTGAGGCCTATAACTCGAAATCTAGGGGTTTTGGGGGCACACGCCCATGAGAACTTTTGATCAGGATGAAGAGTACTTTAACATACTGTCAAACCAGCCGAGTTGACCGTAAGCCCATCCCGTTAAGTACGTTAGAGAATGTGGAACTTGGAAAATCCATAAAGTTCAAAAAATCCATCCAGCACTTTTCTGAGGCCCATAACTCGAAATCTCTGGGTTTTGGAGGCTTGTGCCCATGAGGACTTTTGATCAGGACCATGAATACTATAACATACTAAAAATTCAGAGAATTTAACCGGGAGCCAATTCCCATAAGGATTCTGGGGGGGTCCTTTGGTTGTTGTTAATTAGACAAAAAACATTTACGCTTTTATTTTGAGTTTTTTCCCCGGATAACATGAGGATTTTCAGACGTCCACAAATGAGTATTATGTCTATTAAAAATACCTTCTCTCGTAAATTTTGACTCGTCTGTCCATATAATATGTTGCAAAAATTGTGAATCTTCTTGAGCAATGAGCAGAAAAAAGTTAAGAAGAATTTTAGCAAATCAACTAGAGTATGGTCAAATTTGTGCAGAAAGAGTTTTACCAAAACCAATAACTTCAAATGAAGATAATGTAATAATGTGCTAGCCTATTTTAATGTTCATCCAGAATTGTCAACTCGCGCCGCAGAGTATGATTTAGGCATTTCACGAGCGTCCATTGACAGGATGCTAAGAACTAATGATATGCATCCATACAAATTTAAGCTACTTTCTGCTCTTCATCCTAGTGACGCCGTGAAACATGTACAATTTTGTGAAACCGACTTATGAAGGTTTGAAGTTAACTAAACTCGGCATTAAATTTCTAGCACCCTGTATGCAATTAAGCCACTTTGAAAGTATGGATGGTATGGTGGTCTAGCTATCCACCCTATAAATATTGTTGCTTTATCTTTCTTACTATAAAATACACGGTTTGAAGCTAGTCACTGTCACTGAAGGGAAACTTCATAAAAGTCCACCTAAAATAACACGTAGAAACCAAAATTGCAATAATATACAGTGTCCCGTTCATGTTTCAAAAAAACTTGTGTGCAAGTTCCTCATGGGAAAATAATAGGGGTAGTTCATGTAACGTTTTTTTAGACGCCCTGTTTTCGAGATACAGTGTGTTGTAGTTGTTACTTTCCAAATGTTTTTTCTTAATTATCTTTAAATCGGCTAAAGATAAAAACATCAAAATTGTACAGGTAATTGGAGGGGTACAATCGAAAAAAAATATGTTAAAAGTCAAAATTTATTGCATTTCAAAACGATTCTGTAAACTATAAAGCATATTACAAAAAAAAGGTATACTTGTCGAAATTCGGTAGCATGTACCAATTTCGAGAAAAATTAAGTTGCATTTTTTTTTGCTCAGATAAAGCGGCACAAGTACATTAACAAAATATTAAATTGAAATTGGACTTTACCATTGAATGAGCTGAAGACATTTAGTTACCAACAGTCTTTGCATTTCAGACTATAATTTTAATTTCTTACATATCACATGAAACAGTTAAATTGTAAAACATTTTATTAACTATAAAAAAAAATTAAAATTTATTTTAAGTTTCAGCTTGTAAACTAACATTTAAGAAAGTAAACCAAAATAAACGGATTATGGTAATTAATTATCTATTAATAAGTAATTTTAGATTTTGTAAACTACTACACTACCATTACTAAAATAAACAAATGTTGAATGTACTGAATTGTTGATGGACATAAATGCTTAAAAAAAGTGATAAGAACAGAAAAATATTAGGAAACATATAGAACAAAACAGCTGCACAATTAAATAAATGAATGAGCAAAACTCGAAATACTACAGTAGATGCTGAAATTGTCCCCTATTTTCTTCTATGCAACTTCATTTTTTTCGAAAATGGTACATGCTACCGAATTTTGGCAAGTATACCTTTGTTTTGTAGTATGCTTTAGAGTTTACAGAACCATTTAGAAATGTTATAAATTTTGAATTTTAACATATATTTTTTTTCAATTGTATCCCTCCAATTACCTGTTTCGGCGACACTGCTTTTCATAAAAAAAACGTTTGCACATTATTCTTAACGCACAGTTGATGTTTACTCGTGTACAAATTTTGACATTTTTATCTTTAGACAATTTAAAGATAATTAAGGAAAACCATTTGGAAAGTAACAACTTCAACACACTGTATCTCGAAAACAGGGTGTCTAAGAAAAAAACTTTACATGAACTATCCCTATTATTTTTCCTGCACACAAGTTTTTTTGAAACATGAAAGGGACACCCTGTATATGGCATTCCATTTAAAATAAGCAAATTGATGGCGACTTCTGGTATACCCGGAAGTGGTACATGGACGCCATTATTTTAGTTGAGAAGGGCATGCCCGAAAATCCGATATCCCAAATTTTCAAAATTCAAATCGAAGTAGTCTCTGAAATAATTCTAATGGGCCGTCACCGTGAGACACCCTGTATGTAATAGGTAATATGTAGACTAATAGGGCTTTTTTTCGCGACTGATTATTGGTGAATATCTAACTTGTAGTTACTATTTCTATCTCTTTTTATCTTAGTTGTCACATGGTAGTTTATCTCTTCACTCACTCATATTACAACATATGGCTTCACTCGTGAAAAAAACCTAATGTCTATGGCATATAAGAATAGATTTTTTTTGTTTCTATAGCGGCAATTATGATGTCTTGAAAAAATTTAAATTCAAAATTAAACATTAAGCAACTATGGATTTTGACTGCATAAACATCAAAAATATATATTTTCACGCTAACCTGACATCCCCATTGGCATGACAGACTAGATGACATCGCCTTGTTTGTTAACTGGATGCTGCACCCTTAGCAAAATTATGTAATTTTCCTACGATTTTAAAATACTATACTTATTTTTCTAGGGTTTTCAAGAAAAAGTGGAAAATATATGTTGTACATACTAAATACTTTTGATTGACTCCACTGATTTGAAAAAAATCATGCGTCTAAAAACAAATCTATTTTTCGTATTGTGTAAAAATAAAGTATGAACCTGGAATGGTCTAAGTGGTCTAAGATATATTTGGTGATAAAATATTCTTATATAAAATACTTTTTATAAAAATAAACTTACTTTGATGAATGAATGACAACATTTATAGCCCCACTGTCCATCCTTCCAGTAAGAACCCCAAATGGAGGTGTGGTTGTTAATATATACATCCTCTTCATATTTAGATCTTATTACTTCTTTCTCAGTTCCTTTAATTATTCGACCTGATCTAGAATATTCAACATAATCTTCAGTTTGAGCTAGAAGTAACGATTTAGGAGGAGCCTGCAAATGTTCTTCTCCACCATAGCGATCCAAAATACTGCTTTGTACTTTGGTTTTAAATTGTTCCTTTTTTTTCTCATACTCCTTTTTCAATAATTCAAGTTTTGTTGGTTCTGCCAAAAGATGAACATCGACTCCCTTTTCATATGCTTCCCAAGCAAATACTTGGGCTTTTGCATGATTTGTTGTGTCACCAGTAAAGCGAACAAAATTCTCTCCTTGGTAACTAAAATATAAAAATTTAATAATATACAGGATGATTCAGTGATAATGTCATCAATTTTAAGGGAAGATAGGGAAAAAAGAGTAGAATATGAATATGCGATGAAAAATAAATTTTAAATGCTTAAGTATTTACACTGAAAAAATATTTTTAAATCATTATTTAAACTCCTTTTCGGACTGCTCCTGACCACTGACCTACATCGAGAGTGACCTACTGTACTGTTTGGTTATAAGACTAACTTTAATATTGTTTATAATTGAATGAATATGAGTTTTTAATGTTATGTTCAATTAATTATTCAGTTCGTGGTACAGGCACACGTACTACAAAACCGAATAAATAATTGAACAAAATACTAAAAACTCGTATTCAATTATTCAAAGTGACGTATTGGTTTTTTAGGATTAGTGGTACCTGTCTATTTAAAATGCTACTACGGTTGAAAATAACTCATTCGTCCATAGCACTTAATAAAGTGTGAATCCACTGCACTTTGATTTTGAAATCTTATCTGCAAGATTTCAATTCAACTTGATGAATAAAAAAATTGAGAACTTAGTAGGCATTCTTTTATGTCAAATTTTGACATATATTACGATTTCCAAATATTAATCATATTCATACTATCTGCTGACCAAATTAAGCTGTTTTTTAGTTAATCAAAATTATTTTCTTAAAGATGACCCTAGCAAAAAACGGAAACTATGCCACATCAATAAATTTTTAAATTAAAAAAAAATTTAAATGTGTAAGTTGTAGTTATCAACAAGAAATTTCTATTAATGATACTAAATTATGCAGTGGCATGACAAAATTATCATATGATTTTTTACACTCTATTATCTCATATGTAAATAGAAGGATAACTTTGACATAAGGTTTGCTTCTAATGGTAATGAATTCTAATGGCCATTAAAATATACTGTAAATATGATAATTAAAAAACTTGGAGGCTTGGTTTTCAAATAAGCAACTACCTATCTTTCAGAATTATAAGAATCTGAAATATCTATATTAAATTTAAATCTGAAATATAAATGATTAACCTTGAAATAATTTTTTCTACAAACGTCAAAAAATGACAAGGTTTGCGCATTGACAACAATATGCGAAGTGACACTTTTTTTCGGATTCTTACGTTACCATGACACCATACGCGAAATACTTCGCGCACTAGGGTGCGAAGTATTTCGCACACTGCATGTAAATTAATAAGAGTTTTGTATTTCAATCTTTGAAAAAATGAAGCAAAACTCCAAATTATTATTTATTTTTAAATGAATAACAATTAAATACTTTTAAAATAATGATAGAATTTTACAATAACTTTAGTTATTATTTACAATATTAACATTAATCCTACAACCAGTACACGAACGAATATTTATTCCTAAACCAGATAATTCAGGTTCAGCTCGGGATATTGGGGTTTTGGGGGTTTGTTTGTAGAAAAAATATTGTTTGCATCTCGTGCGCGAACTACTTTGGTGGTCTCGAATAATTTTTTAATTCAGCTTCGCCTCGTTAAAAAATTCAATTCTCGATCACCAAAGTAGCATTTCGTGCACTAGATACAAAAATAACTATTATTTAACTTACGTGTCATCGTTACTTGGATTGGGATTTTCCCTCATAGATCTAGTTTTGGGATCATAATAAGCTGAAGATGGATCTAGATTTCTCAAATATTTTGCCGTGTCTTCACGAATCCTTAAATTCCTTACAGTAATTCTTTGTTTGCTATCAACTTTTGTTCCAGGCATATCCACTTCATCAACATATTTATCCTCATCTTTATCTTCATCATCACCATCAGTATCTTCATTGGCATTCAATTTCTCTGCTTTTAAATGCCTTTTAGCTTCCTCAACTTTTTGGAATTCTTCAATAACAGCTTTATGTTCTGATGGATCGTAACCACTCCAACGATCTCTCTTTCCATCAAAACTTAGTGATAAATCTTTTTGAACAAATTCATCAGGTGCAATATTTGCACCTGAATATTTTGCTCCCACTTTTCGTGGTCTCTCCATACAATCCTTTTTCTTATGAGTCATAGCTCCACAATTCTCACAAGCTCCTTTACGATACTTTGTAACTATATTGGTCTGGAAAATTTTAAAGGGAGGGACTAATTAAAATCGTATTTGTATAAAACGTTAATATTCAAAGATTCTTAAATTACACATTACATTTCTTCTAGGTTACCCATCTTAATTTTTTTTTTTTTTTCAAATTGACCATATCCACATAATATTATTGCATTCCCAAATTTCTTATTGAATATAAGGCTTATTATATATCATAAATAGATTTTAAATCTAAAATGTATTATTTCAGTGTTTTTTATGTTAAACAAAATTAGTGTTTTCAGCATCTTAGAAAATATCAAATACATACTCTGAAAATATACATGATAAGATGCAGTTTTCACTAGTTTATGTCTTAATAGAATTGATATAAATATCAAATATTCTGAAAATAAACATGACAAGATGCAATTTTCACAACTCGTTCAAGTATGAAAAAACCTATCTTATCCATTACTTAACAATTCATAAAAAAATATAAAAAAAAAATATTATTATAGGCATTAGAAGTTCCACATTTTGGAACATGATTAACTTGATTTTTTAAACCCTGTTAAATTTGCCACAGGTAGACGTAAAATGGAGGTTTCTTTGAAATTTGAAGTTTTTGTTGCTGTTTCAGTGATAAAAATGGAAGCCACAAAATAGCACTATAAATAATGTTTTAAAATCAACATTTTCCATATAAATAGATTTGATGAGGCCCTTTAATTAGTTAAGTAAAATTTCATCTTTGCTCCCTATTAAAATGCAAAATATGTAAACTTGAAAAATGCAAACTTTCAGACATTAAACTCAGAATTCTTGATAGTGTTGGTCAAAATATAAAAAACATATTTGATTAAATGCTCAACAAAATAGTAGATATTTTGAACAGTAGATACTTTGAACAATTATTGTAACCTTTTTTTAATGAGGGATGCAGTACCCTTTAGCCTCAAAATTATTTTCTAAGTACGCCTATTACACTTTGCATATTTTTATTAGACATTCCTTAAAATGGTTAGTTTGGTTAAGTTAACTGTGCAGCTTTTACTTGAAATATCAAATGTAGAATTTTCTTCTGACCATTTTTTATCTTTCTTGTAAATTTTTGTTTAATTTTTGTTTTGTTGGTTTGTTTTGGAGAAAAACGACATGTATTGATGGGTTACAAATGTCTTAGCAGCCGATGATTGTCAGGAAAAAATAGTGAGCTCTGAAAACAAATGTCCATCTTGTCAACATAATGACATTAGTTACTATTAATTCTTTGATTTGGCAAATCGAGAAGTGGTTAAGTTTTTAATTTAAGACAATATGGCTAATAGGGTGACAGTAGTTAATTTGACTTTTGCAGATATGGCAGATATGGATTTAATGTTAGGTAATTTCTGCACTAACGATCATTTTAACTCATCATCAATTACTTTTACGAAAAAGTATTACCACATTGTAAGAAAATGTTTTCGTGAAACACTTTGACAGTACAAAAAAATAACAAAAACACTGTTTTACGTTTTGCTAGTTTTGAAAAATTATAATTTAAAATAAAAAAAATAAATTAAAAATATTTTTTTTTAATTATAATTTATTATGTTTATTAGGAAAATGCAATGGAAATGCAAGCCTAGCAGAGCGACGTTGGGCACAAACTTATCCCAACAGACCATATCCTAAAAGGAACTTTTTCTTAAATTTGGATCGACATCTTCGTGAAACTGGAAAGTTTATGGATCAGAAGTCCGGAATTTGCGGCCGACATAGAAAATTAAGCCCCGAACAAGAGGAACAAATCTTAGCACTGGTAGAAGAAGAACCAAGCACAAATACAAGGATTGTTTGCCAACAAATAGAAAACTGTACAAAAATGAATGTTCATCGGACTTTAAAATCCCAACTTCTGCACCCATATCACATCCAACGCTGCAAAATATTCTTCCCCAAGATTTTTCTTCTAGGATGCAATTTAGTCGTTGGTTGTTAACACAGCATGATGCAGATAGGGACTTCGTAAGAAAAATTCTATTCACGGATGAGGCAAGCTTTACAAGAAATGGATTGACAAACATGCATAACAGCCACGTATGGGCGGATTTGAATCCCCATGCAACCATTGTAGCACACCATCAATTCAGGGTTAATGTCTGGGCGGGAATAGTGGATAATTTTCTGTTGCGTCCCCTTTTCATACCAAATAATTTAAATTCAGCATAATTTTCAAATTTTCTGCAAAATGAATTCCGAGATGTTTTACATGATTTACCTACCCATTATCGTACGTGACGGTGTGTGGATGCAGCTTGACGGTGCTCCACCTCATTATGGTAGAAACATCCGGCAGTATTTAAATACCCATCTATTTCCCAATCGTTGGATTGGTCGAGGACAAGATGTACCTATTCAATGGCCACCATGATCTCCTGACCTTAATCCATTGGATTTTTTTTCTGGGGTGCTATGAAAGATATGGGTGCTATGAAAGGTATGGTTTATGCTGCAGAAATAAACGACATTAACCATCTCAGAGAGAGAATAGTAATGGGAGCTAATGAACTTAGGCAAAAGGAGAATATCTTTCAAAAGATAAGGTTTTCGCTACTTAAAAGAGCACGTACATGTGTTATGAGGAGGGTGGTCAAGTAGAACATTTGTTAAATTAGTAGTAATTAATTAATTATTTTATTTAATGTTATTTAGGTAAAAAGTTAAGTATTATGTTGATTGTTCATTATTACTATTACTGAATGAGACTATTATTTTTTGGTTGATAAGAGAAAATTTCAAGTGTGTATCTTACAAAACAATGGGATTATCAACAAAAATAGTTTTTTAAAATGTTACTTTAACACCCTGTATATTGAAACAGGGACACCCAAATAAAAAATGGCATAAGGAAAGTCACATTATTTTTATCCAAAGAATATGTGGTTAATGGTATGGCCTTCTATTTTGGGACACCCTGTATAATGTGTAGAAAATTTCTATTATATGTTCATTTGACCAACAATATATTTTAGTTATTTATGTCCTCAAACAATTTTGTTATATTGATGGTAAATTTCGTTTTGTTCCATTTCAAAAGGTCTCCAAAATGCCATGTTGTAATAATATTAGTAAACTAAATATCTCTCTTATTTTTCCCTTTCGCAATTTTAATATGAATGATTAATAGAAGGGTGCCTATAATAAATTAAAATTATCTGAATCATACCAAATTCCGCAATCCCGAACTGCACTGCTAGGCGACTAGTCGACAACTGAATTTTGACAATGCAATGGACCAGAGAAACAGTGCGCATTGCTCTTTGCCCGCACGCTCATTCTTCAACTGAGCGTATACATTTCTACCACCTGCACTTTTCGATCGACCAAATCTGTATATGGGTATGGCTAAATAAATGTGGGAACAAGTATTTCAATGCCGAGTTGCTGCTTAGCGACCGAGCCTGGTACATACCTTGAAGATATTGGTTCTTCAATTGACTTCGGAAGAACTATACTAACGGGTACTAACGATTGCAGATCTATGTGCATTTGAAAATTTACTTTATTACCAATAAGTTCGATGTTACATAAAATTTTCGGCTGTTACCCCTAAGTATTTGAGGTATAAACGAAAATGAAAGTGGTATATATAGGTATAGTCTTTCCGATATCAATTGAAGAACCAACAGATTTATAGTATGTACCAGGTTCGGTCGCTGACGCAGCAACTCGGCATTGAAATATTTGAAAAACTTGTTCTCATATTTATTTAGCCATACCCATATACAGGACTGGTCGAACTAAACGTGGAGGTGATAGAAATGTATACGCTCAGTTGAAGAATGCGAGTGCGGGTAAAGAAAAACGATCACAGTTGCATTGGGCTACTGGGCAATAAATCACAGCAGATGACAACTGGTTGATAAATTGCCCAGCAGAGCAGTGCAGCAATGTGGAATTTGGTGTGATTCAGGTAATTTTAATTTATTATAGGCATCTTCTATCAATCATTCATATTACAATTACAAAAGGGAGAAATAAGAGGGATATTTTGTTTACTAATATTATCTCAACATGGAATTTTTGGAGACCTTCTGAAAGGGAACAAAATGAAATTTACCACCAATATAATAAAATTGTTTGAGGACATAAATAATTAAAATATGCTGTTGGCCAAATGAACATATAATATAAATTTTCTACACATTATATACAAATTATTATAAATTTTTTACCTTTAGCAGAAAATTTAGACTATACTAACTGGGTACAATTGATCGCATTAAAGAAAAATTCAATTGTCTAAAGTTCAATGAGATATCTTGGCTTCAATTAGGTGAATTCACTTGTTTTCGGCCAGTTAAATGAAATCAGATGTTTAACTAACTATATTTTAGTTTGTGTCTACAGAAATTATATTTGACATCTGTCAGAAATTGTATTACTGAATTTTAATTTAATTCTTTAATAATATTCAACTGCTTAAGTGTTTTATGAAAAAAAATCTGCAAACTCGCCAGTGGCGGTTGTACCATAAGAGCTGCGGAGCTACAGAACACATAAAATTTTATGTATTTAATCATATTAAATATCAACAAAATATTTAAAGAATCCAAATGTACTCGCGCTAAAATAAATCTAGGAGCTTATATTATTATTTATTACGACGCGAGCTAC